CTCGAGTTATCCTCCCCCTCGTTTGCTTCACTCAAGTTTTCCATGGGCGCCCCTTCCTGGCGCGCCAATTGTTCGAGCCTCGTAACCCCCGAGCCTGCTTCTCCGAACCTCCGTCTGACGGACTTCTCCCCAGACGCCAAGATCCTGCAGGGACAGATGCCTAAGGGCTTTGAGAGGCCCGTTAGCACTCCAACGCTCAAGTCAGTCCCAAGCTTAGAGAGAGAAGTACTCCAAAGATTTTAGTGAGAGAAACCAACCTGCTTAAATGCTACCTACCGAGTACTATTTATACTCGTCGAGGCCCCGACCGGGATCCTAGAATCCAGCTCCACGTCAGCGCGTCATTAAATGCTCGGTACGGCCCAACGGTCGGGCGCCTCCACGTGGCAGCTCTTGGGCACTTGGCGCCTGCAGGGACCACCTAGCCAGGTGGCACGCTATAAGCACTCTGGTCCCTTTTTGTCGTCATGCGCCTGTTGACTGGGCCTTACTCCTTATTTTCATCCCCATCTCCTAAAGCGGGCTTGGGTCTGAGCATATTGGACGGGCCAATGTCCCCCAATAGCTCACCTATGCATACACCCAACATTAATAATACATGCATAAACGTTGATAATGTTATATTCAATTGTTATCGATTATTTTAAAAATATGGATTGTACTGATTGTTAACGTGATATAATTTACATTAAAAAATGACAAGCTTTTGTTAATGATACTATGTAAATTTTTTGAAAACATTAAGTAATATTATTCAAAATTATCTTAAAACCGGTAATAATTTAATTGCAGCTATTGTTAACAATTTATGACATTCGTTTGAAAATGAAGACTTATTATTACTATTGATTTTGTAAACAACTAAAAAATTGTTTAGGAAACAATGAACCTAAAAATTCCATATTTTTATAGTTGGTCATTGTTAACCATGATGTCATAATTTTCTTAAACTTACATACGAAATGTGATTTTTTATGTTGTAATTGTCAATTCTCCTTTGAAAAAACTTCGATAATGTTGTGTTACATTATTAACAATGATCTTAAAACATTAACAATTCAATTGTTGGCCATTTTTGACTAGATATGATATTTATTTGAAATATGAAAAGATATCGTTAGTAATAATTTTGTAAAAAATTCGGAAACACTAATATTTTTTTTTTGTATATCGTTCGTAATAGATAGCATAAAAGTTGTAACCTTAGATTTTTAACCATGAACTAAAATTGGTGATTAGTTAATTGCTAGTAATATGTTGCAGTGTTATTAATGTTTTGATAATATTAACAAAACATTAATAATAATTTGGTATATTGTTGATGATACGACTCATAACAGTTAATAACATTACATAATATTTTAAACAATGGGTGAAACCATTAATAATTCAATTAATAGTACCTTAAAAAATTACTAGTAACGGTGTACTTTGAAACATTTACATAAAAAATGGTTACATGTCGTTAAATGTCCAAATTTTTTAGGAAATGTTAGTAATTATGGTTTTATATTTTTAATGATAGTTCGCATAAACATTGATAATGCGATTTTCAGGTTGATTGTTGGAAATTTTTTGTATTAGTGTATGCCCTCTCTAGATACGTTGCCTCTGTTTATACTAGAAAATCATGTTAAACATTATTAATGGTATATCCAGGTACATGAGTTCGTGTATGAACTATCTTAACGCATTTCATAATGGATAAGGTGCACGCCTATTTATGACACTTTGTTTGTCCTTTTAAGTGGTCTCAATATTCATTATTACTTAAAATGACTAAGCATCAATTTGACAAACCAGAATGACGTGTGGCCCTACAGTTCATTACCTTCTCTCTTCAGTGTGGACATTTTTCTCATTTGTATAGTCGTTGAGCATGTATTTCCTAGATCTGGGTGCATGTTGGGCCTTATTTGATTGGTTGGGACCATGAGTGAGTAATTGAGATTTATTGTGTGCCCTATTTTATTGGAGTACCTACCAGGTCAGCATTGCTTATCAGGTCTAACAAGAAGTAAACTTATTAATTGTGCAATTAACAATATTTTAGAAACCCTATCGTACCGTCTGGTTAGACCGGAAATATCGGATATCCGACCCAACCAATATGTGGTTTTAGTGGTAGGAAATGCTTGAGCTACGGTGAATCATGATTTTAGTACAAAATATCCAACCACTTACTTTTCCGGTATAACCTCCACTACGCTTTCACAATCTTTGTCTTTTAGTGGTAGTTGATTGAAATTTAGTATTTCATCTAGTAACCAAATTCGAGTAATAAGTGCATCTATTAAGTGTCTTTTATATTTAATATTATGAACGGGTAGAAACTTATTTATCTGGATATGAATAGCTATGCGATTTAAGCATTTTTCATTTCAATTAAATTTATTTACATATTCTCTAACATTAAGTATTCCTTAAATGTTTAACCACACAATTCAAGGGACCTGGGTTAGTGCTCCTACTTTGGAGCACAAAAATACAAACATGAAGGAATTCCAAAAACATTTGGGAATTAATAGATGTGACCGAAACACAACGAGTGGTTGTTTCACCATAGAGAGGCATACATTTGGTAGGAGAGAGTAAAGATGGAGAATATTGACTGATACTACAAGCTTTTTGTAAGATTAGCAGAGGAGTTATCTGTCTGTCACCAGCGATCGAATAAGACTATAGAATTTAGGCTCTTTACATGTGATGTGAACTCAGTCGGGTTAAAAGTTGTTGACTAGATTGGAAGAGATAGATTCTATGGGATTACTGAGGTGAGCATTAATTTAGGGCATTGCTATTCGTCGCCCTAAAAGTTCTTATTCGTCGCCCTAATTAAATTACATTTACTATAATATCCTTAATTTATTTATTTCTCTTTCAAACACTTAACATCTAAAATTCCCTTAAAATATTCCGGCAGCCAACAAAAATAAAAAAATGAAAACAATTGAAGATTCAACGGCGGCGTATTCTTCATTTTGTCAGCCGGAGAGCGGCCAGGGAAAACGAGGGGACCTTCCTCTCGACTCCAGCGACAGCAACAGCAGCGGCCGGCTTGTTTCTTCCTCCTCCTTCCCTTCGATAATCGAGTAGCAACAGCGACAGCAGATGGCGGAAATGGGGGTGAGCACGGGCGACGGACCAGGGGGGTTGGGATTGAGCAGGGGTGGCAGAGATGGGGTTGGGGTTGGGTTATATTTAGTTTGTATGTTTATTGACGTTTGGGGCAGGGGCGGCGACGGATGTGGTTTGGGGATGAGTAAGGGTGGCCGGCGGCGGATGTGGGTTGGGACTTGGGATGAAGGGTACATATGTCAATTTGCTATGTTTTAGGGCGATAAAATTTGAATTTTAGGGCGACGAATAGCAATTCAGTTAATTTAGAGATTGTTTGGATTGATACAAGAAATGTTTTTATTTGAATCTTGAAATTTCATAGACGATACCCATTTGGTGTAAGGGAACGAAAAATTGACGATCGATGGTTAGAAAAAATGATAAGATGATGAGAAACAGTAAGACTGTAATGTGGAGTACTAGAATGTCATTTGGGAAAAACTTAAGGGTTAAGGTGCGAGGAAAATACATGTACTTTTATTTTTTTATTTTGTAAATAAATTTTAAAATATAAAGTGAACCTATATAATTTTATGTATAAAATTGGTAACAAATTGTTAGAATGGGCTTTTAAATTTTGTTATTTTATTCACGATCTAGATTTATATATTGAATTAAAAAAAGAGGTGTTGTAGTATTTTTTATCCAGATGTATATATTATTATAGTATATTTAATAATATTTTAAATATAACAACATATTAACACTTTATTAATGGGTTGAATATAAAATTCTCTGAAAATATATGGTGCAGTATTGTCAAGTTCGCACTCGAAGCCGAGTGATAAGTTGTAAAGACAGGATGGGTAGTGTGATTTTTGTTGGACTTCCAATATGTAGGGATCTAAGATCCCTATATAACTGAATTTATGGCTTTCTGAGAGGCAATCCAATAGTGATCTTTAAAGGGTGCAATAGAGGTGGTATTCAAGGGGGTGCAAAAGCAGTCATTGATAAGGAACGAGGTCAGGATATACGTGATGGTAGAGGTGGAGTCATTTTCGAGAAAATTGGCCAACTCCAATAGCAGTATGAACGTTTTGTTGTGGAATTCATAGGCAGATAAAATAACCGAGCAACCAATTTGGTGGCTAAAAAGACAATCTCTTTGTGTTCCTGCAAGTGTTAGTGGTTTTAATTTTTGACATTGACTTATCTTTTGGTTGTAAACTATGGTATCTTCATAGTTTTTGGTAATACAAGTTAAGTAGGCCAAAACCATTTCGAATGGGACAAAAGATTTTCATGGGCCCTTCTCTGGCCTCCAATCCGAACAACCCATATTGGCAAAAACGAAACTTCAAAAATAAATGCTCTCACGCTTCAGCTCTGTTTCTCATTATACGAATCAATAACTTAAAGTATTTCAGCCAACGGGCCGAATAAAAGCTAGTTATGTAAGTAGCTGGATGATTGGATCAATCAATCTTGGACTGCTAGGTAGAGTATCATAAGAGTATGTAGTTTGAAGTGACCACAACGATGGCCATCCCTACAAGGCACGAATGTATTGGAAGATGCAAAAGACCACTATATTGAGGGAGATAGCTGATCAGCCTGAAAATATGAACAAAATCGTGAAATCTCCCATCATAGTTAAATGCCTCTGTTCTCTGTTGCTTTTATTTCAGGGGCCCGAGTAGAGTAGTAGCTACTAGCTACAAATAGCTTTCGTGCGCAAATGAATTTGGTTTCCCAAATTGGCAACCAGACGAACGTGTAGAAAACCAGAAAGGTGAAAAAACAGAAAGCACCACTGCCCCATTAATCGGATCCCACCTAACCAGGCCGGGCGGTAAAACAACAAACAACCACAGTAAAAATCCTCCTCCTAATCATTCATTTTTCTTCCTTAAACGTCAAAAGGCTTTCCGCTCACAGAGAAAGAAAGTGACAACCAGAACTCGAGGTCATTGTAATTCTTTCCAAGCTCCGAGACTTCAAATACGAAACGAACTCTCTCTCTTCTTCCTGAATTCTGCATTATAAACACACACACACAAAAAAAAAAAAAAAGAGGTTTTGGGTTCCGCAATGGATGCGCCGTTGCTCCAATCCCGCGGCGGGAAGGAGCGAAACTACGTTAAGGAGAATTTCGGTTCTTCCGCTCTCGGAGACTTCACAAACGAGTCGCGGACGCTATGGAAGATTGCCGGCCCTGCCATCTTCACCTCCATTTCCCAGTACTCGCTCGGCGCGCTGACGCAGACGTTCGCCGGCTTCGTTGGCGAGCTGGAGCTCGCCGCCGTCTCGGTCGAGAACTCCGTCGTCGCCGGCCTCGCCTTTGGCGTCATGGTCAGCCACTCCCCTGTCTCTCCTCTGCTTTTTCTTACAACGCTGATCTCGAGATTCGAATTGACGTCACGTACTCTGTTTTTTGTTGCTGTTAGAACAGAGTAGTGGGTTTTTGGATTGAATCTTGTTTCTGATTACGTATTCAATTTTTTATTGTGAGAAGTTGGGGATGGGGAGTGCATTGGAGACGCTATGTGGGCAAGCATACGGAGCAGGGCAGATCAGAATGTTGGGAATCTACATGCAGAGATCGTGGGTTATTCTTTTAGCCACCGCTTGTTTGTTGGTTCCTGTTTACGTCTGGTCTCCTCCAATCCTTGCTTTCTTCGGAGAAACCTCAGAGATATCCACTGCTGCAGGTCAGTTACATTTTTTTAGTTGAGTAATCGAGTAAACTGTATCGACAATTGCGACAATTTGATTTCTGGGCATGAATCGGATTGACCTGAGACTTTTTCGATTTTGATTTTCAGTACGAATACGAACTGTAAAAGCTTGATCTGTTGATTCTAAGTCAAATGCAGGTGAATTCGCGATATGGATGCTGCCCCAGCTATTCGCTTACGCATTGAACTTCCCGATCCAGAAGTTCCTGCAAGCGCAGAGCAAAGTGATGGTGATGGCCTGGATCTCGGCGGTGGTTCTGGTTCTCCACGCGTTCTTCAGCTGGCTGCTGATTCTGAAGCTTGGCTGGGGACTGGTTGGAGCCGCTCTGGTGTTGAATGCCTCATGGTGGATCATAGTCATAGCTCAACTGGGTTACATATTCGTAACCGGGTCCGACGAAGCCTGGAATGGCTTCTCCTGGCTCGCGTTTTCGGACCTCTGGGGTTTCGTCAAGCTCTCTCTGGCCTCTGCAGTAATGCTATGGTAAAAAATTTGTCAGCTTTTCAATTTGGGCTTTACTGTGAATACCTTGATTTTTCATTTGGTTCTGTTTGTGGGCATAGTTTGGAGTTTTGGTACTTGATGGTCTTGGTGGTTATCACTGGCCGATTGCCAGACCCTCTGATCCCTGTGGATGCCATCTCAATCTGGTATACTTCCTTTCTCAACGATGCTTAATCCGAAAACAATCCAAATTGTCTATCCTCAATTTTATTGATTAGTTTGCTTGCAGTATGAACCTGAATGGATGGGACGCCATGATTGCAATTGGATTCAATGCTGCCATTAGGTACACAGTTTTCACCAATTGGAGAACGAATTCTGTACATAATTGACCTAACAGCATTGTTTTCGATTTGCAGCGTAAGGGTCTCGAACGAGCTCGGAGCAGGTAAAGCTCGAGCAGCGAAAGTCTCGGTCGTAGTGGTATCAGCTACGTCGATGGCCATAGGGGTGGTCTGTATGATCGTGGTCTTCGCGGCGAGAGGCTCGTTCCCTGAGCTGTTCACCAGCAGCGCTGCGGTTGCTGAAGAAACAAGGCGGCTTGCCGGGTTGCTGGCATTCACTGTGCTGCTCAACAGCCTTCAGCCTGTTTTATCAGGTAATTTGGTAGCAGTACACTTCATCCTTGGTTTACAAGTTTTCTGGCACTATACTTTCTTAACTTAAAAGGCAATGCATGCTGCTTTCTTTGTAGTTATGAGATTGTTTATTGCTTTTGTCATGTAGGTGTTGCTATTGGAGCAGGATGGCAATCTCTGGTGGCTTACATTAATATTGGATGTTACTACATAGTTGGATTGCCAGCTGGGATTCTTCTAGGTTTTACGTTTGGTTTTGGAGTTGAGGTAAAGAGAAAATTGTTCCCCTTTTCGAACAAGATATGCAATTTGGTTAATATGCTGAAAGTGGTAGGTGTTGGTACGTGTTGATATCTTCGGATTACACGATTTAATGATCTTAGTTCTTGATTCACATGATGATGTTTTTCTCTGTGCAGGGTATATGGTCAGGAATGATTGCAGGAATAGTTTTGCAGACCATGATCCTGGTGGTAATAACGGCAATAACAGATTGGGAATCCGAGGTGAGTTTCAATCTTTTGATTCACCTCTGTAAATTGGATTCTGGTTTTGTTTTCTGCATGCTTTGAAGGCCATCAAGAAGCTTTGATTTAAATTATTATTTGTTGGCGTTTTTTCCAGGCTGCAAAAGCAGAGGGTCGGGTAAAGAGATGGGGAGGATCATCAGGACAGCATTAGGAGGAGATAAATTTGTTGCTTTGCTATCGGTGGAGGAGCAAGTGTAAAGAAAGAAAAGATGATGTTGTTATGGAAGAAACTATTCATGATAATGCTGGGTTAAATGTTGTGATAATCCTCCTATAATATATAGCCATTCTCCGGCTAATTTTCTCCATTTTGAAATCCTTGCCCTCTCCTTCATTGTCACTAGGGGCAATTGTGGAAAGTAAATGGTTTCAGTTCCGCCCTTATTTTATTATTCGGGAAATCAGTACACACGTCCCAGAAGCTGCTCAATATCCCTTCGTCTTCCCCTTATTCCACCGATGCTCAACCGGTCATTTTCCCCCTTCTTCCTCACCCATACCAGCGTCGCATTCCACAGGTGCCTCTTCGCACCCATCTGCAACTCAGCGATGGTTAAACTCCCGTTGCGACCGCTAATTGTCCTTTTCGTCCTCACCTCATACTGGTGGCCGGCGAATTCCATAGCCTCGCGGAATGAGAATTGAGTGGTTGATTCGTCCTCGCCACTGACTTCTCGACTCTACTCGATCCTCTCCGAATTCCTTCCAGAAGAGTTTGTTTGGTCCTCTTCGCCTACCAATCGGCATATCTTCCATTCAACCTGCTCTCTGCCAAACAGAAGGTCTGATCAACACTTTGATTGTTATTTCTATGTGGAGACCACTTTTCAATTGTTTTGCATCTGCATCTGTTAGCCCCTCTCCCGTTGTAAGTCGGTTTGCCATTTTCTATGTTCGTGCAGTACAGGTGAGAAAAGGCTGAAACGGTAGCAGGGCGAGAATTACCAACGAGACAGAACGGTAGCAGAGCTTTATTAGCTTGGTTTTCAAGGCTGAAAGGGTTTGCCATTTTCCCCTTATGCTTATTATGAATATGCAGATTGTAATACCATAAGTTCATAAAATGGATCTGGCTGTTGCATTAGTTTGGTTGTCCTGATGTGGCCTTGGCATTAGCCTAAGTTGCTGGTGTGATTCGTGAATAACTAATGGTCAAGTAGAGCACTGAAAGAAATGAGACATTAGTTTCCTGTTTAATTTTGTTTCCGTTTGTATCTACGGATATTGCTCCCTGATCTCAATGCTTTCACCTCCCAGTTGTTATTGTTATTTAGAATTTTAGTTTTTGAGTTGCCTACATGATACAGACTAGGATGAGAGGGTACAACTTCATGCTTTGGAAAGTGTTAGGGTGTCTGTGTGTTGTTCAAAATGTTGTCCTTCATATCATCACGTCTTGAACCTCAAATGTTTCTCCTGAAGTAAATGGGTTGGGATAATTTTGGTCAACTTTATACCTCTGTAATGGTAGATTTATAATCAACAGTGGTGTGTGATCAATCAATTACTTATGGTCATTACTGCTTCTAATTTGTGCATTTTTGCATTTTTGGTGATTATAGTGGTAATGTTTTCATTTCCCAAAGTTTAAGTATTTATAACCAGGTTTCTATTTAAAGTTTAATTCTATATTCTGTTCCATACAAGGGCTGAACAACCTGAACATTCGTGTGGTTTCCCTTGATGAGCTTTTTGAATTAGAAACTTACCCAGTTGATGATTTGGCCTGTTAATGGTTTTCTTCAAATTTTATAACGGTTATGAAATGGATGATCTCATTTTTCTTGGTGTCTTCTATGTATATTCTGTGAAATCAATACTGTGAACTGTTTTCTGTTTGTTTTCAGGAGTGTTTGATGAATCAGCTTTGCATGGAAACACACCGGCCAAAGCAAGTTCGGAATTCGGATGTCACTTTGTTTGTGTTCTCTTTGTAACAGTAGTATCAAGTAGACCATATTACTGCATCTCCCACAAACATGTACTCTTGATGGTTCACGTTAATTGAAATGGGAGTCTTGTGGCTTTATGAAATCAAACTTATTTAATAATTCAGTGTCTTTCATGTTTTTTATTATGAACTTTTGTATATTTGTACATGATTTCGAGATGTTGTGGAGGGAAACCTTTTAGTTTTGTACGTAGACTTCACCATGTTTGCTATATGGGAAGCAAATCTCATGTGCTTCTTCATGCACTATTATCGTAGTAAATAATTAGTATCTAACAACATTCAATGTGTGAACAGATGAATTTACTTTCATTGGTGTCAAAAGCAATAAAGTCACTGCTACTAATACTAATTTGTTAAAAGTCCCATAACTAATTAAAATTCATATTTTACATCAAGCACACCTCAAAAGGATAATAAACTTACAAAACATATTAGCGTTCACATATTCATTACGCTTACAGAACAAGATAGATTACAGAGAGGTGGAACATTAATAACATTAATCCGATCATATTAATAGTACCCAATTGCTACTTAGTTATCTAAAGGCAGGAACAACTTAACCAAGAATAGATCAAAATAATTCTCCACGTTGTTCCAAGGACCGATTGTCACCATGACCTCATATGACTTTCCACCAATCAAGTTGAGAAGTGTAACATAGTCGGCATTGTCAATCCCGGAAGGACTTACGACAGAAGAAATGATTCTCCGTAAGTATGATGATGGGAATACGAACTCAACATCAGTAATGTCATCTTCAATGGTCAAGTGAATCAAATATACCCTGGATGCATCACACCAAGATCTCCTCAACTTTGTTACAATGCCAGAGAAAATGTACGAAGTGCCCTGATATAATGCAAAAGATAAGGATTTGAAAGAAATAAACAAATCAAATGCAAATCAATGACATAAGAGATAGAGAAGGATAGATAACAAAAATCTTATCTTACTAACCTGATCATCACCATCCAATTGCATTGGTATAAGATCTATAGTTTCAACGGTCTCAGACATTGCTACAGCAGTTTGACAATTCAGATTTGTAACGAAATCATCTCCCATGGTAAAAAACCTATAATTTAGATCATTAGCAATTGCATTGAGTAGTTATGAAAACACAATAATATGGTTTATTATGAGTTGGTTGGGAAACCATTACTTACGGGTTCCATTGAGGTATGATGTCCATGTTCAAATATATATCACACTGATTTCCTTTTGCTCAATTTCTATTTTTGGAAGTAGCTGCCATTTTTAAGATCACAAAAAACAAACAATGTTAGTTGTTGTTTGGGACCACAGTGCATATTACTTTTGCAATGTTGAATTAATAACCAATTCGTATTTCAATTAAAAATACCAAAGACACTCTTATTAATTATATCAAACGAGGATAGAGTTTTGACACTAATCAAATAATCATGTACAAAAGAAGAGAAACAAATACTAGCAAAGAAGACATGACTCTGTCAATTCATCGATGAATTTTGAAGTGGAACTGGATGTTACTTCTTTTGATTTAAGATGCCAACTCACTCTGAATTTTCTTGGCGAGTACTCTTCTAATTAACTAGGTCTTGGTTGTATGCAACACACAATACGTATTCAGATTTCAAGAAAATAATACTGCTATATGCGTCCTCAAATATGGATCAATGCTATGCTAAAATCGAAGCAATAAGTACTAATCATGTCCCTTATTTGAATAGGCAAACCACATTGTATCAGAAAGCATGGAACCTAACTCACCGGTGGAGCTCGCAAGTATTTCCTGGGAGTCTCGAACTGAAAAACTTTCTGAAATCTAAGATTTTAGTAGATCGGGAGAAAACGAAGTTGAACGATAGCAGGCATATTCAGGTTTAGATGCGTATCCCTTCACATAATCTGGAATCGTTTGGGAAGGGCGGCGACTGCACTTTATGAGAGGCCTGGAAAAAATCGTCGATGCTGTTGATGAGAGGAAAGAACATATTTTTGCGAGGTAGGGTTTGGAAATTACCTCCTGGAGATGGGACTAATGTCGGTCAGGCAGAGAGGAGGACTGGAAAATGCGTCCATGCAATGAATCTGGTGTCCATTTGATGTCTTCGTCGGAAACTGAACAGAGCAGTGGAAGGGAAGAAGGTAGTGGAAACGATTTTGGGGGGTTTTTTGTTTGTTTGATGCAAACGTTATTGAAGGGGGCCTTCCATTGAATTCCAATATATAGACTGCTATTTTTTAAGGATGGACTTATGGGCCTCTATCAACAGCCCAAACTTACAACAACTACCCGGTCAATGGGTCGGCCCCTACATTCTGTTTTAATTATCTCTTGTTTTATTAGTCGGTAAACAAACTCACATTTTGATTGCTAAAAAGAAATCATTAGTCCGGAAAGCCACTTCGTCAAGTACCGCAACTGCTCTCTGTCTCATCGTGCTCACCTCATCAACCGATTCACAATCGCTGGTATTCCCTTCTTCCTTACCTCATTCCAGCGACGCATTCTGCGGTGCCGATTCTCCCCCATCTTCGAATCAACCACGCTTAATCCCCAATCACCGACTTCCCCTGCGACAAGAAGCCATCTCACTCCTCTGCTCGCCCTCTTAAACTCTATTCCACCCAAACTGTAATCAATCAGTGGTTGGCGAATCTCATATATCTCGGATGTCGGATCTAGGTTAGCACCCCTGCAAAGCCATCACATATCTACTTTCCTGCAAAATCGAAACATGGTTTGTACCCCTCTTCCTCCTTCTCTTCATTCTTTTTAATCTTGGGGTTTTGATCACCGATGCGACAAGTTCTGTATTATATGGCTTTCATGTGTTATTGGATTTATTTAATCAAGAAGATTAAATTACCTTTAATTTAGGTCAGTGATGGCGTGGATGGGCTTTATTAAGAGAAGGTTACATCGTATCTTGCTTAGCTGCATGAAATTGATTGAAGCAGAGGGCCTCTGCTACCATTCTTATGCGTGTGTTTATTTTGCTTGGTGGGTAGAAGAATAAAGAATGTTAGTCAATCTATTTTCCAAGGTTCCTGTCATATCTGTAGATTATCTTCTGTTTCCTAGATTGATAGAGTTTCTGTTTTTTATCCTTGGTGAAATGCTCTTCTTTTTAGTTTCAAGGATTCAATAACAATATCAAATCAAACAATGTTAATTCGAAGTTGCAACTGCAGAGATATATGGAACACTATCAAGGCAATGGAATGATGTATATTTTCCCAGTGCTTTGTAGACTGATGAACATTATGCATCTCATTTGTTGTTTACATTCCAAGTTAGGAAGTCTTCACGCATTGACCTTAGTTTCTCTGCTGAAATACAAGGTTAAAGTACTTCTGACTTTCAATCATTGTGTCTTGAATGTGATTGGATGCATTGTGTTTGTAGTCTTCACTTACCTATATTGTGTTTCAAATCATAGGAGTAAGCTATATTGGTTGAGTAGTTAGATCAACATGAAACTATATATGTGGTCATATAATAGGTTGTATATGCAGAATGTAATAGCATAAGTTGATAAAATTGGACTTGGCTGTTTCATTAGTTTGGTAATGAACTATAAATAGTCTTCGTTTCAGGTTGTATCTACGGGTATTGCTCCTGGATTTGATTGATCTCAATTCCCAGTTGTTAATCTTAGTTAGATTTTGAGTTTATGAATTTTTCACAGGATACAGATCAAGGAAGGACAAAAATGGTTTCCAAGAGTTGATTCGGCAAATAGAAAACTGTTTTCTGTGATTGTGTATGCATTCAAGAATGTGTCATTTATGACCAAATTGACAGTTAAGAGCAGTCAATGATAAAACTATTTTGCAAATTTTGTTTCTTACCAGGGATGACCAACCAGAACAACCTTTCTTTGTTTAAAAGCCACAACCCGCTGACATTCCTGTGGTTTCCCTTGCTAAGCTTCTTGGATTTCAAACTTACCCAGTCCATGAGGTGCCCTGTTAATGGTTATCTCAAACTTTAATAACGGGAATGAAATAGATTATATAATTTTTTTGTGTCTTCTTTGTATACCCTTTGAAATTAATACTATGAACATTTTTCTATTGGATTTCAGGAGTGTTTGTTCGATCAGCTTTGCATGGAAATCAACTGGTCAATGCAAGTGGGGAATTCAGATGTTCATTTACTTCGTGTACTCTTTGTAGTTTGTAGTATCAAGTAGACCATATTACTCCATCTCCCACAAACATGTATTCTAAATGGTTCACGTTTATTGATCTTGGAGTCTTGTGGTTAGATGAAACCAAACTTATTTAACAATCTATTATCTTCCATGTTTGTTATCAATGCACTTTATGTATATGTGTACTTGATTTCAAGAATTAGTGGCGCAAGATAGATTCATATGTTTGTTATTTATGAAATTGTGTTTACATATATGTATGCCAAAACTCGAATCAATTTTTTTTATCTGTTGTGACAGGGTATTGCTTCATAGTTTTTGCTTTGGGTGTGTTGTACGAATTTGATTGTCTGACGTACTTGCACTCGAGACTATTATATTGGATCAGTTAGTCAATATTTGCTCTATGCCTTCCCGTGAATTTCAAGTGGGGGAGTCATCCACTCCTCATCCAAGTTCCATGAACAAGACAAGTGCTTTGCCATTTAAGATTTCGGAAAGAAATTAATTTAAAAAATTGCGGAATCGTTCATGAGTTAGATATTTTTGCAAAAATCATGAAAAGACAGGTGTTACATGATTTAGTTGTATGCTTCAGGGAAAGGATGTGCAATTTACTATCAATCTGAGGCTTCAAATCAGTATACTTTCTCGGTGGACAAAGATGCCAATACTATTGCCTTGGGTAAAGTCATCCAATTAAGATTTTTATATTTGTTTTATAGGAATCTGGATTTTTGAGCAAATATGTCTTCAGCATATTCATGATTTGTACTCCATAGTAACATTTTTTGTGCCTATGTTGTAATCGGATCTATCATCAATTGTTTTAAACATTTGTAGAGCTTGAAACATTGGAATGTCAGTTCCGTAAAATTGAATATGAGTTGCATAAACTCGCAAGGAGAAGACGCCATGCGCTTATGCTTCACAAGCGCAGTCGAGAAAGTAGAAGAAAGGAAGA